TCTCGGTGTGTTTTGATTTGTCACAATCCTTATTCAACACACACTTTCTGATTAAGACTGGAGCCATAACGAGGAACCGTAACCGCAAACAAAAACCGAATTCGATAATCAAAAAAGTCTTCGTCACAGAAACGTGGAGTTCACACGAAAGCGCGGAAGTCCTTCTTCGCTGCTTTTAGTGTATTTGTGGCAGAATACAGCGCCCAAGCTACAGGCCCGCGCATATGCACTACAGCGTCTCCAGCGCTTTCGTGTGAACTCAACACGTTTCTGGTGACGGAAGACTTTTGATACGAATTCGTTGTTTGCGTACCGTTCTCGTATGGCTCCAGTCTTAATCAGAAAGTGGTGATTGAATAAGATTTTTTGGACAAATCAAAACACACCGAGAGAAAACTATGAAGCATTGAAAAACTTTAATTACAAGAGATAGCATTTACCCGTATGACAGTGGCATCGTGCAGAAGGGTTGAAAGTTTGAGGGGGGGGTAGCAGGCTCTGGTCGCCTGCTGGCACATTCAACGTTTGGGGCCCAGAAAAATCCTCCTCCATACAGCTCTGCCCTGGCGATTCTTCGCAGTCCTTTAGGTGGGAGTCTCATTGTGCTGCCGAGGAAAACATAGGCATGATTATTTGAGCTCAAAACAAACTTTTTAAACCATTTTCAAAACATGTTAAAAGCTCATTTTCTACAGCTGTCAATTTAAAATCATTTTCTATTTTCTGAACACTAAAACTTTGAATATGATTAGTTTTAGTCCACGTTTAAATTGTTACAAAATATATAGTTATAATTTCCACACATGTTTGGTTTTGCCGTCTTATGGACTTCCACTCATTTCAAGCAATCAGATTGGTCATTTGGAAGATTCCTTCTAAATGATATTCATAATTAATTAATGGGCTTTAGGATATGCTTAATAAGCAGACACACCTTATGTAGACTAAATCCGCTAATTTGAAAGGCTGGAAAACTGAATTTACCACATGAAAAATTAACAAGCTGTTTTCTTTTGACTTATCATTGCCTCCTTTTAATACACAGGATCTGACTAAATGCTATTTTCCTTTTTCTCCCTCACCGAGTGGTTATGTCTTGTGTGACTGAACGGTGAGCAGGTGATCTGAAAGTCCCAAGTGGACGGATCCTCCCTGTCGGTCCACAGATGAGTTTGTATATAACATTATCATAACAGAAAAAAACCAATACCTTTTTTTTAAGGGTTCCTGCAGGTTTCACCACTCAAATAAGACTTTTTTTAAGACCCACTTGAATAGGAACTTTTAGAAAATTGCCTATGAAAGAAGAAATACGTCCCCATAATTAGCTTTACAAAGTACATTTATTCAATGTCTCACACATAAGAACGATGATTGAACATAAACAGCATAAAATACACTGAAAACTTATTGTTAGCGTGTTAGCCAAAAAGTTGTGTGTGATGAGGGACAAGGAGCTATATCAGAGCTTCTGCGCTGGTGCCTTGGCCTATACAATCTCATCGTTGGCTGTTGTGATGATGGTGTTTAACTACGGTATTTGCGCCACAGCCCTCCGCTTTTAGGTTTAAGTAGACCCAAAAACGTCGCCTGGAGGTCCGCCCCGTGTTTGTTGCGGGAGCTGCTGCACTAGCTAACGCTGCATTAGCTAAACAAACAACAATTTTTTTGTTGGCAAAAGGTGCTGCCAAGCGGGCTGTCCAAACCACGTTCCCCGCTCAACTGGTATCAACAAGCCCACTAAATTCGATGTTTTTCCAACCAAAATACGGGCTTGAACTTTAACTTCCCCATATTTTCTTTGTAAGTAGATTCGATAAGGATACCTGAGTTTTCTGACTGCCGGCTTATGCTGAGCTTTGGTTGCTAGTTACTAGCTGAGTGTTCTCCGATAAGGGGCCGGGGGAAACAAAGTTAGTGATTACTGGTTCCATGTTGATTTAATTCAATACAAATTGTTGGGGGGAACTGAAAGGCTCTTACCGTACTGGTTACTTTGCAGCCCGGACATTTCCCACAACACACATTTAGACGCGATCGCTACAAAGAAGTACCTTTCAAATCCGATAATTTTGAAGACCTTCTAAATCATATTTAAGACCTTTCTTATTTTTTTGATCATATTTAAGACTTTTTAAGGCCTTAAATTGAGATGATCAAATGTAAGACTTTTTAAGACCCCGCAGGGACCCTGCTTTTATTTAATATACAATGTACAGGTTGACTAAGGTTGATATCAGCTGATATTTACCTGTGAAGTAACCTGTGCTTCAAGAACATAGACCCTGGTATCACACCAGGACCTCAGGATCACCTGACAGGTAAACTGGCCCACGCAGTCCGCCTGGAAACGTACTGGGATGTCCACACAGCCACAATCTAATGACCTCACAGAAAAGGAGATTTATGAAGGGAAGGACGTTGATAATTAAAGGAGTAGTGTAAACCTTTTCACCTCAGGATGTCTCGTTCTCATGCATTCCATGACATCTACTCACATATCATTCACACAACAATACATTCTGTATGTTCTCATGTGTGTGTACCTGCAGGATTCTCCCATGGGGTTCTGGTTTCTTCTCTTACAGGTACTGTAACGGTACTGGGTAAAGCAAATTTCTGTGGCAAAGAAACCTCCACGCTGTATTCCACTTCTTCACCTTGGTAAACACCTCTGAAGAGTTGGGCCTAAGAGACAAGAGGGACAGAAAGTAAAATATGGACAACAGGGAATCCACCATTTGTTTGGAGAGCTTACGTACAGCAGTGGTCGCCTTCACGGTGCTGCTATGCAGAGTGTGTGTAATCATGCGTCTCCTGTATTCATCAGCGGTCATGCTGCGCTGACCCCAGAGAGCCAGAGCTTGCTCCCGAGCCATATTGATCAGAGGCACACGCAGCAACTCCTCACACACCTGGCCCACTTTGCAGTGTAGGCTGAGTATTGATACTAACACAGCTGGGTCTGTTGGTGGAACAAAACAGTGAAGTTATTGGATCAGCTAATAACAATGCACACACTACTTAATATTTAGGTGATACAGCTTAAGTGATTATATTACTAACAGTGCCACTTCAATATCATAACAATATGTTGTCTGAGGAAAAGGAACAATTATGTAAATGATACATGAATTAAAATGATGAATGATCATCTATTTGATATCAGTGTAGGTTAGTAGGTGGGTAATGTTTAAAATGTTAATGGAAAAACAGCTACAGTTAATATCATATAGTTTACCTCTGATTGTGCCATAATGGTCTAAAATATTTTATATATATATATATATTATGGAGACAGGTTTCCTACCGGAGTTGCTGGGGATGGAGACTATGTTAGCACTGGGCCTAGCGGTAAGAGGGGAGGGAAGAGGCAACTCTGCTGTGGCCTTCACCATGTACACCATATCTCCCACCTATAAGGTAAATATGCACTGTAAATGGTCCATTTACAAGCTTCGAAATTCAGTGTTCATAGTTCAAGTTATAGGCCAAAATATGTATTACAAATCTTTTCAAGGGATAGACACACATGACACGGACACTGACCTGTGGGCAACCCAGCAGCACGGAGCAGTACTTGGTGCCCGGGAAGAAGGGCAGGTAGTGGATGTTCAGAGTGTCTGCTTGGCCTGGCTTCAGACAAACACTCCTCACTGCACTCAGGAATTCACTGCATTCACCACCTGTGCACACAGACAAACTGAAATGGACCACCACCAAACAGACACGAATAAAGTTGTATACACACACACACACACATTAACAGTGATTAAGTAACATGTGTGGATGTGTGTGATGTACTAACTGAAGTCTGAACCCTTCCCTTCCATCTCATCCCCGCAGCTCTTGTCTGAAGTCATCTTCTTTATACTGAAAGACGGCAGAGGAGGGAAGAAATTCATAATCATTCACAGTGTATGGATATCATACTACACAACCTGATACAGCTGCACCAGAGATGAACTCAGTTCTCCTTCAAATCCTCATAGTCGACTCCTGATTAGGAGGAGGAGGAAGTGCAATGTTTGATGCTTTGAAGGTGTCTCAGGTGGGGAGAGATGCATACTAACCAGCTTTCCTTAATGACAACCCGGTACTCTTCTGAGGAGTAAGCTCATACTGTACCTCTCTCCACCTTTATCTAGCTTCTGAAGCCCTGAGCAGCAGGAGAATCACCCTGTCTTTTTGCTAAATAAGCTATTTTGATAAGCTACTGTAAAACCACTGTGCAGAAAGGATTGTATGTGTTATTGAGCTTTCAAAAAGTAGCAAGACATTGCTTAAGACACATGCCCCTTTCACACCAACGCGTTTTCAGCGCCGGCTCGGAGCTGGAGCCTGAAAAGTACCGTTTTTTCCTGTTCACACCGCAGCGGCGCCGCCTCTTAGCTCCGGAATCCGGTTCACTTCCAGCTCCAAAAAATTGTCGGTCTAGAAGCAAGAGCTTCGGAGCTAAGAGGCGGCGTCGCTTACGTCTCTCTTACGTCGAAGCGTGCAGGAAACTAAACCCACCTCCCCTGAACCATGGGTCGACTGAAGAGTCTCGTCATGCCTGCCTACAAGCAGTAGGGCTGAGCAAAGTGACTAGAAGGCAACAACACAACACACTTATAAAAAAAAACAGACTTTATAAAGTCAGGCAACACTAACCAGGCTTCGTGTGATTCTGTTTATTTGTACCTNCTTTTTTATCATACATTTACTGTTTTTGGAGCAGCATTTTTACAGTGTATGACAGAAGACATTTAATCGAGTGCTAACGGCGTGTTGCTGTCACACAAGCGCCATCAACTTGGTGTCAAACAGCTGTCTCTCACGTATAGTTTACTCTTATTTCTGTTCCTCTGTGTTGGAGAAGTCCCAAGCTACCAAAGGTTATCGACAACTGATTGATTCATTATGATTAATATATGTTCACTGGGGAAAAGGCTGCTCCAAAAACAAGTTAAACAATAATGAAAACGAGCTCTTTTCACTTGAAATAAGCTCAAAAATCTGAACAAGTGAAGATTTGCTTGGTGAGATTTCTTGAAATAAGAATGGATATTTAGATAAATCACATCTTGTAATTAGCTGGACGAACTCATTTTGAACTATATTTCAGGTTCAGGTTCTTTATTTGTGCCCGTAGGTAGATTTTGTTTGCAGAGAAAAAGACAAGGGATCCATCCTGACACTAAAAGCAAACACAGACAAAAGACTAATAAAAATAAANACAAGCTGTTTTCACTTGAAATAAGAAAAAAAATCTGCCAATAGAACAAGTGAACATTAGCTTTGTTAGATTTCTTGAAATAAGAAGGGATATTTAGATAAATCACATCTTGTAATTAGCTGGAGAACTCATTTTGAACTATATTTCAGGTTCAGGTTCTTTATTTGTGCCCGTAGGTAGGTTTTGTTTGCAGAGAAAAAGACAAGGGATCCATCCTGACACTAAAAGCAAACACAGACAAAAGACTAATACAAATAAAAAGTACAAGTAGAAGAACTTATTTTGAACTATATTTGACCTGATTCAGGAAATGTTGTGTTTCAATATAAGCAGCAAATGCTCAAAAGTGTTCAGTGTTCTGATGTTAGTTGGTGATTTTCTAATAAATATGTGAAAAAAAATGTGTTTGATCTGAGATACAACTCAAAATAAGATGTTTTGACTGAACAAGATGATGCATTGTCTAAAAACAGGACCGGATATCTCACTGCAGTGTTACTTCTGAAGTTATTACATCTTATATCAGGAGTAAAGACACATTCTGAGACATTAGACAAATATACTTGGCAAGATTTTTAGTTTTTGTATTGTTCATCTACAACCATCTTTTTGAGGAAGTGTAAGAAGCGACCATCATGTTAAAGGTGTAATTCATCTGAGCTGGAATCTTTTTAATGTAGGAGCAGCTAATCATTGATTCATCATTTCTTAACATCCTAATCAGTCATCCTGCAGACCAAACCATTTTTTATTTGAACCGAAGAAATCTTTGCATTCGCCAACCAATGTTATTTGTTCAGTACGTCTTTTCATCAGGATTACAAGGTCTGATTTTCATGTAACTTGGTGGACGGGTGTAGCATGACCCGAGGAAGTACACCTAACATTTTGGAGAAGATCTGAATAATGGGGGCTACACAAATAAGGCTTTCACTTTCATTAACATTGTGAGATTTCGGTTGCATTGTTGAATAATCCCCAAAAATGTGTCCTTACTGGGAAAATGAACGACTCAGGGTTGAACTCTGAAACAGATATCAACAGTTTGTTTGAATGTTCTGAGCAATAAAAGACAACACATCGTCCATTTTGTTTCCACTTTACAGGTCAAAGATCACAAGTAGAAGTCCAGAGAAATAGTTCCTAACTCGTCCAAGGAGCCAGTGAACGCACCATTGGCCATCGTAGTTTTAACATTCTTATCTCCAACCTTTTTGTAACCTTGGTCAGTATTTGTATGCATGTGTTGGTGTATTATGTTTGTGTGGAAAACATATTTAAATGTTCTGGTGTTTCGCCCTTTTGGAGCTCTTTGTAATGTGTAATTCTGATCAGTGCTATATGCAAACATGAGTGTTTTGATGACTAGATCGGATGTCATTATTATCAGGTCGCAAGATACAGACGGACGTTGTGTTTGAAGGTGTGTGTAGTCAAGTTGGGAAACATTAAGGCTGCATTTCTAAAAAGGTAGGCTACACCCTATAATTGCGAGTTCAGCTGTCAGAAGATTTATAACAAAAATGTTCAACAAAAATGTGCGGCATCCAAAAAACAGACTTACGTAGACAGTAAACAGTTTTTATGTTCACACAAGTCTGTGCAGCGTTATGTACCTTACAAATCTCTTAGGTGATGAACAGAGTTGGGTGTAACGCGTTACAAAGTTACTAACATTGCCCCCGACACGCGTTACTTCGTTACTTTTATAAAAATAATCACACTCACTGACAGACAAGAGGGGTTTCCGCCGCAGGTTTGTATACATGTAGGCCTTCGTAATCTGCGCGACTTGCGCGTCCACATCTCCACGTGCAGTGCTGCATAAACATGGTTATGGCTAGAAAGGATCCGTCTTGCGTAAAACTCTCGCGAGAGTTTGGCTGAATGTCACGTGGCTGAATGTTTACGTTTGGCAGGCAGCCTTTCAGTTACGATCGTTAACGTCAGTTGGCCACCGCAAATGATGGTGAGAAGCTAAACTATCTATTAATTATGTCAATGACAGGGAGTGTGATTGNACATTATGTGGCACTTTATTTTAAGTATTTAGCGCATTATTTAGTCACTTTATTTTGACGATTGCCTGGTCACAATAGCAGTTTTTGGATTTGGGAGGAATCTGTTTTATCTGGCAAGTTTAGTCCGGAGCTTACCGTTTAACAAATCGTATTTTCGAGGCTAAACTAAGAACATCTCTCTGCATGCTTTTTGGAAATGTGTGTCGGACACCCTCACCTCCATGTGGTTTCAGAAAACCCAGAATGAGCCACTTCACACTTCTTATCTAATATACAGTTGTGAAGAAGACGCGTTCATCACAGTTGGCATAGGGGCATGGTAAAAGGCACACTGAGGTAAACACATTCATAACTTTGCTGGACATTGGTCAAATAAAACCCAAGTCATTATTTGTTCAAGAAAGCTTTATTTGAAGTCATACATAACGATGCTGTGCTTACCCTCTCGTGAAGTCCAAGCAGAGCAACAGAAAACTGCAGCCTTAAGTAGAGACTCAATCAGTGGAAACACCTGTTCTCAATTGGAGCATATGTAGTGCATGGGCACGGGTGATCATTTTCTTCCAAGTGTAAAAGTGTTATTGTTTAAGGCTTCTGTGTTCAGAAATGTAGAATATGTTGACCTATTTGATTTATTGTGTTTAATTAGTTTGAACTACATTTTGAATACTGTTGGGGAAATATTTTCCAAGGCCCATAACTGTGACCCAGTTTATCAGTTCATTCTGTCCTGACTGAGCACACGCACCTGTAACCTTGGCTGCTGTGCTCTGAGTGTTCTGTCTCCCTGTTCCTGCCTGTTGGCGTCAGCTGATAGAGGTGTTATGCTTCTATCTTGTTATGCACAATGTTGATTATTCTCTCTGAACTAGCTAAATACATGGGTCTGGGGTAGAGTTCCTCAGAATTGATTGTGGCATCTCAACCGTATGTTCAAACCGTGGCCCGTGACATGTCTTGTGAATTCTCCGGCAGAAGCTCCAAATAAACCGTCAGTGTTTGCCATCAAAGCTCCAGCTCTCCATCGTGTCTCTCTTTGAGTCCTGACTCCAATTGCTTCAGAGGTTTCCCCCACACTTACTTCAGACTGCTTTCTGTTTTGTACACTTGGGCTTCGGAATACTTTGACAATTTAGGAATTATACATATTTGATTTCTTACCAAGAACAAGGACACCTTTACACAGAGCCAGGCTACTGTTTCTTTCTAAGTCTTTATGCTAAGGTAATCTACCAGGCTGCTGGTTTTTGCTTCATGTTTCATCTGCACTGTCTCTTTGCTGTTGTAACGCTGTAAATGTCCCTGCTGTGGGACGAATAAAGGATTTCTGATTCTGAACACATATGACAGTCTCATAGATCTTCTTATCCAACTCTCAGCAAGAAAGATGACAGGTGTCAAACCTTTTCTTTAACTGTGTGTGTACTATGTGTCTATACAGTATACCAGTCTTAGATTGTGTGTATTAGGTTTGTGAAAATGGTGTGTGTTACTTGGTATTAGAGGATGCTTTTTGAACAGGGCTGTTTTTCTTCTTTTCAGGCTCCACAGGGTTGAATAGAGACTCCACCAGCCCCACCCTAAACACACAAACACATAAGGAAATCAGGCTTCAATATAGCAATAGAACACAAACAGACAAACACACTATACCAAGACTCTCTCTGGAGTCACATTGCTGATGTTTTTATGAATTGTTTAGTGTAGTAAGCAATGCAAAACACAAATGTAATCACAGTATCTTAAACTTGGGTAAATAAAACATATGTCACCTGGATTCTACTAGGTTTTCTTTTAGCTTTGGGTGCACAGACCCTTTAAAAAAGTTAGCATATAAAGTCATAAATCGAGTATGCATAATGTGGACCTTTTTGATTCCGTATTTCATGTGGGCGTGGACAAACGACACCTACCTGAACGTAGCTTCTTTTTTGAAAGGGTTATTTATGGGCACTTGGATCACTTTCTGCTGGTAGCATGGAGACTTGCACTTCACAGTGTTCTAGTGAGAGACAGTACAGAAGCAGCATCTCTGTAACTGCTCTCAAAAACACACTGTATTACAAAATACTGGCATGGTAGGTAGGTAGGTAGATAGATAGGTAGGTAGGTAGGTAGGTAGGTAGGTAGGTAGGTAGGTAGGTAGGTAGGTAGGTAGGTAGGTAGGTAGGTAGGTAGGTAGGTAGACAGACGGATGGACGGCTGGGTAGTTAGACAGACAGACAGACAGACAGACAGACAGACAGACAGACAGAAAGACAGACAGACAGACAGACAGACAGACAGACAGACAGACAGACAGACAGACAGACAGACAGACAGACAGACAGACAGATAGATAGATAGATAGATAGATAGATAGATAGATATATAAGTAGGAAAAAACAGCATTTCTGGCCATGAAGAAATTCTTATAGCGGAAAAATCCCAACTTTCTACACACAGTACTAAATCTTTTTCACACACTCTGAACAACGTGGTGTTTCATTTTACAAAACAAAGAATGTAAAAGAGGCAAACATGTATATCCTTTTGGTCCAGCCAACTGAATGACAAATCAGAATGTGAGCCTTGAAGACAACTATGGCAGTAGTGAAGTAAGCGTAAAGGTAACATGATACTTACTGTGGGTGTGATATGGCTGACGTGGGTCTTCAGATTGAAGGCGAGGGTGGTGCTGCTCAGGCCAGAAGGAGAGCTAGAGATGAGCAGGAGGACGGCCTCCATCGGCTGAAAGACGGAGCAGCTGAACTGCACGGCCAGTTCAGTGCTAGCCCTGTAAAATGGCCGCAACACATACCTGATCATTTTCTGAATTGATGTGAGATACTGTAAAATTAGGACTGTGAGAAGCAGTGGTTTTTATTTTCTAGATAAAAAACATACTTTGGAGGAATGGTGACAGAAGATCCATTAGGGAGGGAGAAGAGATGGGCATCCTCTCCTAAAATGTAGACCTGGTATTTGATTGGCTCAGATGATCGGCTTCTGAGACGCACCTGCAGCCCAAAAACACACAGAGAAACAGCTTTTGGTACACACAAGCACATCCCCAGCAAACAAATGGCCCTGCCAGAAAACAAAATGACAAATAAATCTTCCTTCGTACAGGCAAACTGACATCTACTTTTGTTAGGCTTCTAATGTGGCTTAACTTGACAATGCGGATCATTACCCAAATGTATATTTGTCTATGTTTGTAATCCTGTTAGTGTGTGTGTGTCTATAATCTCATTAAATGTATGTGTGTGTCTATAATCCTGTTAATGTGTGTCTGTGTGTCGTTATCTGTCTGGGAGCTTATTATCCAAGCTATTTTCAGCTTCACCATGCTCATTTATTTGATTTACAAGGCATGCAGTTCAATTTTTGTTTAGCTGCCTTCTTAGATCCAAATCAGTATTGTGTATGTGTGTGTAAATTACCTGTTTGCTGAAAGTGCTGTGCAGGCCTCCTGAAAGAGTGATGGTCTGCAGTGGCAGGTACTGAGGCAACCTCTCATACAGGTGAACACACAGGATTAACATCTGTACTGGATTAGGGTCTGACAAATCTGTGGGCTGAACACATTACACACACACTCAGATATAGGGACACAGAAACACAAAGGAAGTGCTTCCTAATCTCTGACCTAATCATTGTGATATATTGAACATCAGGTCTGCTAAATAAGTCATAAATAGGGCAATTAATGCAGTAATTAGCTAATATTTCTCTGTCAAATTTGCTTGGATTTACAATGCGGATGATATTAATCTGTACTCAATATGTCCACCAGTATTTAAATGCATTGATTTAAGTACATTCCTATGCAGTGAAGTACATTGATCTTAACACACAGATTAACTCTGGTATGTGTAAAGAAGTGTTTCCACAAATCCAAGCCTATGACATTGATAGGATACGATCTGCCTTTAATATCTTGAAATTCATACTGAAAGGATACCCTGTCTATACTTGGGAGGGGGTATAAAGGAAGGCTGACTGTTTCTAACACTGGTTTACCTGAGATGGAGCAGGGACCAGGCTACTTTTTCATTTAAACTGAGATCAGACTTATTAAGATACCTTTTTTCTTCAAATAGGCCTGGTTTATCTTGCTGTTAGAAGCACCCTTCTGGTCACATCTGGTATTTACCTGAACATCTAGGTTGAGAGAGAGTGCTGTTAAAGCCTGGGCTACTATGATGTTGTTGTGAAGGATCTGTTCCAGGCTGTTGGTTGTGGTGTACATCCTCCGAAGGCTGGAGATCTAATCAGGAACACAGCAGGTAGGAACACATAAAAAACTGATGCTAAGGTTTATCTGTGACTTTTACATTGTGATCTATTTTTTCTACGTCACTTCGTTTCTTTTCTTGTAAACATAATTAGGTTGCATATACTTCTCTATTTTGACTTGTTGTTTTGACAGACAGTTTGTGAATTGCACCCCCCTCCCCATTGCGTCCCTGTCACATTGATCACAGAGTCATTTAAAGACATAATGAACAGACGCGTGCACACACACTGACCAGAAACGGGCAGTAGTCCGCAAGCAGAGCGGCTAGCACCAGTCCATCTGTCAAGTCCAGGTCAAAATTCACTATCCAGCGTGCTGATGGGACACCACCTGCAAACCATCACAATGCAGAGATGACCCATTAATCAGTAATTATATAAAGGCATTCAAAAGACTTTGATTTGAGTTCAAACCTAAGAGGAGGGTATTATTGGCTAAATTGAGCAAGGGACAAATAAACCCTTTTAACCCTCTGAGACCCACATAGGACATTTCCGTTTGTGTATATTTTTGTGTTTTGCCTAATAAATTGTCATTTCTTTGCAGTATAATCAAGTTTTACACATCCCAGAAATCAGCACAACCTCAGCTAATGATATATGTCACTCATTAGAGACGTATATACACTATAATAGGGGATATTTGCCCGTAAATAATAAAAATAAATAAAAATGGAGGTTGAACATTTATTATCATTGTATCAGAACTGATTAGAAGATTCTAACTTATTCTGTTCATTAGTTATGCCCATTCTTTTGGGCAGTGTCCATGGGAGTTTTTTTGTGAGGAATTGTCATTTTTTTGTCCTGCTAATTTTGAAGAGTACACATGATATCTCATGTCCAATATCACACATGGCATGCTGAGCAGATTCGCCTGAATTTTCATCAACATCGTCCCCTTGAAAAATCAGCTCCAAAGCCTCAGCTGCAGTAAACTTCTTTGCCATACCTCAGTTTACTTTCAAAACACTAAAAGAACGTATTCCAACTTTTATTTGGTTATCGCGCGTGGAATTATACCGGCTCTCGTTTCAGTACACATAAAAACGGAACTGACAGGCAACCCTCTGAATCAGACTCCGATTGGCTGTGACTGCATCCACTCAGAGTGTCCGATCCAGAAACGTGACTCTTATGCTCTTTACGTCACAAACAAAGATTGTGGATGAGAATAGACCTATAAAACAGAAAACGATAAGCAAAGCGCTAGAATCAAGGTGAGACTATCCGCATCTTTTAAAACTCTACGCACATTAGTTTCACCGAAATACGCAAACGCCTCTCAATGAAAAACTTAATGGAGTTGTTTATTGCCGTTTCTGTAGTTTAAGAGGAAAAACACAGCATGGCTCTGGCTCAAACTGCTGAGAAGTTATGATGCTTTGAACACAACGTGATATCTGGGATCGTATACGGCCCCGTGGGTCTCANATTATTATTATATTTAATTAATTTGTTTTATTTATTAATTTATATATTTTAATATTATTTCACATTTCATTTGCAATGTTGAATGTTCAATAAAAAGTTATGTTTGAAAGGATGTACTTGAATTATTATTATATATTATCATTATGTCTAAAATGGTCTTAAAACGGTGCCGACAATATTATCGTTTATCGCAATAATTTCCAGAAAAATTTATCGTCCAACACAATTAATTATCGTGACAGGCCTAGTTCCACGTCCCCAAAGCCAGCTTCTGTCGCCCGAGTCTGGTCCGTCGAGACCCTCTGCCTTCACTGCCACCCTTCTGGCAGCGCACCCGACCCCATCGCAGTTACAGTGCTTCCAATGTAATGTGTAACAAAATGTTTGACGATAAGAACTATATCAGAACGAAAAGAGATAAGAACTGGGTCAAGTTTTAAGATTGCTTTTAAAAATAATTGTCATTTCACTTCACTTGCCACAGGGAAGACATTTTAGTATTGGCAGCCGTGTGTGTCAGCTGCTGCTGAGAAGCACTAACAGGACTAATGTTCAATTTTAAGAGACAAAAAGGACAAGCGGTGATACCCATCACCATCGCTGCCATATGGCAACGTGCCAGTCCAAATAGCTAATTATAAAGGTATGTCTTTGGAGGTGACATTGTGTGGTAGATGTTGCTGGGTAAAGGAAATCAGACAGAAACGTCGCTGTTAGCTGTTCGAGAGTGGCGTTGCCTTTATCTGCGGACTTTGAGAGGGGACGAGTTAGCCAGGGCAGGGAGACGGAGGTTCTGAGCCACAAAGCTCCTCGGCTGTTGATTGGTTGGATTGATTGGCACAGGAAAGCTGCCTCTGGTGGGTGTGCTACAGATGGGTGGGGGGTCAGGAGGGGTTTCCCCTCTCACCTCGTAGGTCCACTGCACATCTTTTGTCTGTAATTAGAGCAGTATCTGTCAATCATTGTATGTGTTGGTTTGGCTGCAGAAGTTATCTGTAAGGGAATGTTGACATCCTTACTTTAATAATAACAGACATATCTATATCAGAGGATACTAATTGACATACCTGGATGGTTAGCCTTGCTCTGTGGTTGCTGTGTGTGCTGGGTGTGAAGCACAGACTGAAGGGGGCTCCAGGAGAACCAACAGGAGGTAACACCCCCGAGGCTGGTGTCACAGAGAACTCACTGCTGCTGCCGGGTAGGAACGCTGCGGTGAACCGCTCTGGCCTCCTACAATGGGAATGTTAGCGACTATCATTAGAACCTTTCCAGGGGATAACAAACCTCATGAGGATCTTCAAAACTTTACATTTGACTTTCAAAGAGCTAGGGACTTAATTCAAATCCTCTATAAAAAGTTCTAGGACAGATTCAAAACGTTTAGAAAGCTATATGGCTACACCTAATTTTTGAGGTGCAGCTTGTATTCAATTATAAGAACACTTTGATGGAATAAGTTCTAACACACCTGGTGGTGCTGGTCAGATGGAAGCCCACAGCTGATGTCTTGCCTAACTCAGTGGCCTCAGTGATGATGACATCATCCACTTGAGGCTCTGTGCCAAAGAGAGAGATGGAAAACTCCCAGATCCTGCCGGACACACACTTCACAGCTAGGACGGCTGAACACCTGGACACACACACACACACACACACACACACACACACACACACACACACACACACACACACACACACACACACACACACACACTTCAGAAACTGATACATTTAAGCTCAATACATAAAATAGCTGAAATTGACTGTAATTTGATACTTTCACAACAAAGGGATCGATAAACGTAAGTTCGTACAGCTGGCAACACGTACTAAGTTACTACTTCTGTCAAAATGTACCTAAAATTAGATCAGGAATACTGTATAGGAGTCGACTAGCCAGAGATATGCAGAGTATGATATTCCTGGGAACCTTTATCTAGAGTGAAGAAGTAAATGAGTCAAATGCATGCATTAGGCTTTAACTACAAAAAGTTTGCCCTCCATGGAACACAGATGAATACCACGATTAAGTCTGCTTTCCGCTCATCGGTTTTCTTCAAGTCATTCTTCCACATTAATTTATCTAGTAGAGTGTAATTTGAGCATTCCTATTTATCTACAGAAACATGATTAACTAAACCGGGTCTTTAATATTCCCGCTTTCAGCTTATGATACTTGGTCCGCTCATCTCAGAACCCGCGGCAGAGAAATGACATGTAGATAATGGAAGAGCCTATTAGCGGCACCACACACCCCGTCATTTCCTCGTGGAGAACTCCTTAGCTCTCAGAAGTATTGATTCTACCAGGGCACGCCTCATTAATGGACAGATGAAGATGGAAGCTGATAAATGAACACACTCTTCACTCGGCAGGATGTCACATGCAATGTACAGTAAGGAGGACAGAAGAGAATAGGTGAACTGTGATAAAGATTGACAGCATGCTGTATATTTGTATATTTTGTTCATTTAAGGCAAGAAAGGTGGATTCAATTTCAGTTAAAGGTACCCTCTGGTGTCCTTCGGCAAGATAATGAACCCCAACTTGCTGCCTTTTGCCTAGCTAACAGTGTGAGTGTGTGTGAATGTGTATGACCCCTGATGAGCATGTGACACCTTGTGTGGCAGCCTATGAATGTAAGAATAATGACTTGTGTTGTAGAAGTCCTTTAAAGGGTTGTAAAGACACAAAAAGCCTTATATAAATGCACTCCAATTACATGTAGTGGTAATGTGCCAAGAAGCCGTCACTGAGCCAGCAAAGGCAGGGAGAAAGCAGACTTAAAGCAAGGTAAGTGGAGCTGTGGCTGGGGCGATTCAAAGGAAAAACTGTTGATAAATATGTGTTTTAATTTGTTAAACTATCCTTTAATAAACAGCTACAACAAAAGGGAGGTGGGGATGACAGCTGTGAACACTTATAATAGCTATGTTTGTTGTTGAAGTTAATTATGATCATTTTTATAGAGATGCTTTGTAGGGAGGCCTGAGGAGACTAGCTAGTGTTGCCAACTTGGCAACTTCCTGGATTTGGAGCTAGAGCTAAGAGCTACTTTTCTTGGAAAGGAGTTGGCAACACTCGGCTGAGTTTTTCAGTTGGATAATGTTCATAATTTGGCTTACTCTTTCTGCTTGCTCTAATATTACCTACCCAGGCTATAACATTGGTTCATCCAAGTGTCAAGGATAAAGTGTGTGAGTGGTTGACCATTCAAATCAAAGAAGCTTAAAGAGCAACTTGCAGTTTTTTTTTTTACTAGATTTATGCTTAACCTTGCCTGAAAATTACAATTAAAAAGGTTAATGCAGGATTTGATATGTTTTACGAGACATAAGGGCAGGAATTCAGAGGGAAAGGAGCCGTTTTGAGCTCTGTTACTAAAAACTGCTTTTTTTTTCAACGTCATACGTCAAACGCGTCATATTACGTCACATGGGGGAGCAACTTTCTCGGACTCCTTCTCTGCCCAATCCGCGGTAGTAGTTTGTAGTTGGTTTGAGTGGTTGTGATTTAGTGAGCTGGTATTTTTTCGGTAATTTTACATTGCATTTCACCATTTGTAATCATGGTGAGCTTGAGTTTGTTGCACAAACTCCAGCCTGTCAGGACATCGAGTCCACAGTTTCCCTAACAGGAAAAGGACCGGAGCTAGCTTTTGTTCCTGGGTGCGTTGTGCGAAGTACATCCACCTCCCTGCAGCACATACTCTCCACAGCTGAGGCCTGTCAAACAAAACGTTTATCAGGAAACCGTATTACACCTCTCTCCCCACCTTCGCTGCTCTCTCTCTCCCCCCTTCGCTCCTCTCTCTCTCCCCCTCTTCGCTCCTCTCTCTTTCCCCTCTGGTACACAGCCTAAGACGTAGTGTGGAGTTGCATCTAGGTAACGCGAATACGGCTCGATACTTGGCGCATCTAGTTTCTGTTGTGAGATCAGTAGTCAAAGTCTGCCAGTAACGTTAATATTATTATCAATGCTACTTAGTTATAGCCTGGATATATGATAGCTAACTTTTACAATGTGTGTGATGTGACTGACGTATAGCTAACATGAACTGTAGCTAACGCCGTCACTCACCAGACAGCTGTCCTGTTCTCCTACACCACGCTCCATTTCTCTCTGATGGCCGTATTTTTCTCAATCCTTGGCTGCTCCTGGTCTCTTGTACGCCTAGCAGCTCATAGATTATAAGTTGTGTCCGTCATAGCATTCGTATGAATGTTCAACTTCTTCTGGTCAAAACTAGCATGTGGAACCATGTCTATAATACGTTAGGGACTGCCGCTTTCCCCTGATGTTGACGTCAACACGTGGGTGGGGTCTTTTTTTTTGTAAAAATGTCTTACAAAAACGACGCCAGATGTCACTCATAGTGTATATTTATGATATATATTTTATTAAATCTAGTGATATACATCCATTTTCCACCACATTTATTCACTGGGTTGCTAACCTGCAACTTGCTCTTTGAAGTCAAAGAGATACAATGCTTTTTTTTCATTAATGTCGTTATAAGGTGATTTAAAATGCCATGATGTTTTTTGACAGTAGGACGGGAATCGAGTTGTTGTAAGAACCTACATAGTATAAAATTGTTTATAGGCCGTTAGCCAGTAGATTACCGACTCGATGACCGGTAAAATATGCTGAAGACGGCAAAATCTAAATCTCTCTGGTCAAAGTGTCCTGTCAAAATAATTTCCCCTAGCGCAATATTGCACAGTTGCGGCCACTTATGTGATCAGACAAAGAGAGTATGTGACAGACAAGCATAGTCAATTCTAATGTCTAACACTTAATGTGGAGAAAAGAGATGTCCTGTTGGGTGGATTGTGCGTTGATCTGTTGGTAATGCCTCGGGGTTTCCGGTGGGCATGTAACAGAATGCATAAATGCTGCGGCTATACTTTGCGGCCTTCACCCGCTGCATAGGTGATATCGCTTCTATTTGTTTTGTAGGTGTCTTTTAATAAAGCAGGTATTGATTCATTAGCTAGAACTAGGCTGGATCTGATTGTATGTACATAACGCGAGTAAGTCGTAATTCTGGCGGGGGGAGAGAGATCAGCTGCTGCTGACGAGTCGACGACGCAGGCTGGCGATGATCACATGCACGGCGGTGAGCGGAACAAACACAACTTCAGGTTAGAATATCACCGTACCTCTCAAACTACGCGGTAACTAGTTATGATACGTTTTAGTTTACATGTCGGGTCACTCATTTACTGGATCGCGAGCTGCGATGAACTTTGCGGGCTGTCGAGGAGGAGGGAGAGAGCCCCTCTGTTTAATTATTCCCGTGTATTGTAAAATTTCGGTTCACTTTTGAATAATTAATCTACGTATAATTAGTTTGTTAATATGCGGGATCGATATCAATTTGTTTTAAAGGTCGAATAAAGTTAACAAAGAAGAACTTTGACCGGCACTGGGCAAATGTTGGCGGAAAGATGTTGACTTTAACGGACATGGTGACCGGCAAAAAATATTCAACGGGAAACTCTGGGTAACACTGAGTTAAAAGGACATATGTATGCTCATTTTATTTGCATGGGGTATGTTGCGGCTCTACTGGAAGGCGCCGAGTGCTTTAAGTTGCAAGGACAGCGCTCGTTTAATGGGGTCATACTGCCGTCTCCCAAAGTTACCTGGGAAAGAGGTAAGGAACCTAAGCGTCAAACATTAGAGACTGCAGCGACATTGAAAACTGTAAAAGAGAATGCAAAGACAGAGTGACGTAGAAGAGAAGAAGGAAATGAAATGAGGGTATTGGCAACGCTGTTAAGTGAGGAACCATTTGGTTGTATGCCTCGCTGGTGTGTGAGAATGTGCTTATATATATGTGATTGTTTGGTTTAGGCAGGACTGGGGATTATTAGCATCCTTTGCTGTTTTTCCGTCANATACACCTGAACATCAGCAGGAGAGGACTCTTTAAAGTAGAGACACTACATACTGATATACACCTGAACATCAGCAGGAGAGGACTCTTTAAAGTAGAGACACTACATACTGATATACACCTGAACATCAGCAGGAGAGGACTCTTTAAAGTAGAGACACTACATACTGATATACACCTGAACATCAGCAGGAGAGGACTCTTTAAAGTAGAGACACTACATACTGATATACACCGAACATCAGCATAATGAGTCGTCTTTAAGAAGTGTCTGTTGCCCCCGTTTAGAAACAACAATATAAAAACCTTTTTGCACACATACAGTAATTGATGGTGAAGTATAGCACTCACTCTAGTTTAACAATGTTCCAGCTGAAGTGACCTTGACTCCTTTAATCAGGAAAAAACCTGCTCAGATTAAACACAAAATGAACAGGGAGTTTTGTCCTCTAAGGCTATAAAGTAAGAACAAGTGACCTCACTGGGAAACAAAGTAATTAATGTTGACTTTTCATAAAGCCAGGTTTCACATTTTTCATTTCATCTAATGAAAAAAATTATCTTTTCTATTGGTTTTCCTTTTTTATTTATCCATGGAGTTCTATGTTAGCTCTTCTAATGCACATGTTGCTTTTTTGTTCCCCTCACCCAACAGTGTTTTGTTTAAATTGCCCTTAATTTGACAAATTGTATTTGGTTTTATGCTTAAAATGTCAGTTTCT